AAAGGCGTCATATATGTTGATATTCCCTCCGATTTTGAGAACCTGGGAAAAGCTTTTGGAAAGGCTATTAATTTGTCATTCTTTGGAGATATTTCTATTACAGTACTACTGTTGCGGGAATTTCTTTCTGGGATGGGTGTGATAGATAAGTCTGCCACTTCCCTTTATCAATGGAGGAGTGCTATGGAGATTTTTCGACGTGCCTCCGAAGTGTACAAAAAAAAGAATCATAAGCCACCTGTGATCATTTATGACAATGTGAACCGACTAGTTAAAGATAATGCAAAAATTCTTGATATACTTCAAGATGACGCAAAAGATAATGCTGATGATAGTGCATACATTGCTGTGTTTGTTAGTGAAGGGAATGTCCCGAAAAGATTGCAGTGTAAGTGCTAACAACGTTTTTTTGGTTCTCTTATTTACAGGCATATTTATAATCAATATCCTTATTTCTAGCACGTAGTTCTTGGTCACGTGCAGAACCAATCGAAATTGGTGATATCTCCAGAGAAGAATCATTGAACTACCTGATCAATAAGCGTGGAATCAAGACTGTAAAGGAAGGCAAGATCGATACCACAGACGCAGAGAAATTATTTGATTTGGTTGGTGGACGCATTATAGATCTAAAGTCTGTAGCAGATTTGTATCAGGAAGGACAATCCATTGAAGGTAGAATTCGTTTTGATATTTTACATTACGTGGTTCTGCTTTAACAAAAGATATTGTTTTTTCATTCTTTGAATATCTTTATTGCTTTTGCAGTTATTAAACACGAAATTTTAGTGAAAGTCAATAACAAATTCAGAACTGCAAAACTTCTTAAAAACGATGAACATCATGAAGTAGGAAAACGCATCATCGGTGCTTTGCGGGATTCCGGAGAGCTTAGCCGTACTGAATTTGAGGAATTTTTTAAAACGCGCCAGGAGGCCGATGAAGTCTTGGGAACAAATGTATTTGCGTATCATCCAGAAAAAAATACTGTAACCTTTCAGTCTCGCTCAGTAGAATGCTATATTCGGGAAAATGCTAGTATATTCATTAATAGAGCTACTAGGCACTATTAATTGCATAATAAAGCTTCATTTTACATTTTATCAAAGCCCAGTTCGGGCGAAACTTTATTGTTTTAAAATGAACGAAGTAACGAGTTTCAAGGGAGGAAACATCTCGAGCCCCTAACCCGTAAAACGAGAGTTCCTTCCCGCTACTCACTATAACTGTTTTGCTATCGATCCAAGCACCTATTTTATCTAAATTGATTTTACGATAATAATTTTTAATCGAATCTTACCAATTTTCCCACCCCAAGATTAAAAATATCAACCATTACAACATTACACATATCATCAAAAGAACATCTTCTTTCAGCCATAATCCTATCGAAAATAATCTTAAACTGATTCCACATTATTTTTAAAGGAATTTTATTTTTTTCCAGAAGATGCTTCGGATTGATTTGCATCACTTTGTTGGTCGGATGAGGATGAGTTATTGTCTTGAAGTTCTACTTCCTCGATATGCTCAATTCTTATCTCTGGAGAAACTACGCTTCGTGCTTGGACAACGGCATAATACGGTTGATTTCGTTTTGGAGCGTTGAGATACCCCCATTGATTGATTGAATTCGGTTGCGACTCTACCAAAATTATTATGGTAGGTTTGAAGGTCTTGTTCGATTTCACCGAATTTTGCAGTAGAAGTATTAAGCATTGTAAAGATTCTTTGGACCTCTGCTGTAAATTTTTCATCGCGCAAGGTAAGTTCAGCGTTAAATTTGGCACGGTAATCGGTGAGTTCAGTTACGAATCTGGCATCCCGATCGGCAAGTTCGGTGGTAAGTCTTGGCATTACGACTAGCAAGAATTTCATTAAACATGGTATCACGTGTAGAAAGGTCGGAATTATGCTTGGCGTCGATGTCTTGCTTAGTG